TAGCAAATAATTTCCACTACCTGATTTACTTGTTATTCTACTCCCCCTCATCCCCCATTCATCTTTTTCTGTTGTGGTTTTTATCAGGTTTTGTAGAGAGCATCCATTTAACCAGCACAATCAATGCTGAATTTTTATAACTGGGCATTCAAAAAATCTGACACCGGTTTAGAAAGTCTGGCTTTTAGAACAAAAATCCCAGTAGACAATGGTCATGTTTGCCTTTGTGTATGTGCAGCATCTTTGCATGATGTGGGCTAATTAACAGGTGACATTACAGCTGTGATCAAGAAATGGGAGAAAAATCCTGCCTGCAGGCTATGATTACATATGGGGCAGAACACCAGCATCCCTGTGGCAATGGTTCTGGATTGAAGAATAAGAATAATAAGAATTGCTGTCTGGGGACCACAGGATTCATACAGTCATAGATCAAGAAAGCTGTTATCAGTGCTGACATGTTTTACACCAGTTTGGCCCTGGTCCTTCTGCCTATCCCCAAGGCACAGAAATTGAGCAGTGAAAGTCATCTCAAGCTTGCCACAAAAGGGGAATTTCACCCTACTGCTTCTACAGCATTTTGCTGAGAACTGCCACTGAAGTGAGAAGCATTACTATTGCATTTACTATTCCTGAAAGCAAAGCTTGACATATTGTTTGTTAGGAAAACACAGAGTGCCTCTGAGCATAGAGCTTTTCACTGCAGAAGCACCCCCTGGGTTAAATCTAACACTGTTTTCCCTGAAGAGGATTCTCTAATGCAGCATTAGTGCTGCTGACTTCAGCAACATCTCAGCCGTCTGCTGCAAATGCAGTCATCAGCACCAAGGCATTCCATGGAGTATGAGAGACAGGTAAAGGCAGAAAGGGCAATACACATTAAACAAAATAGATTGGATGTGCTGTTAGAAGAAAAGCCCTCCCAGCTGCCCCTTTCTCTGAGTGGTGAGAAAGGAGCAGTATGTTAGGTTACAAATCTGCATAAGGAATAAAGGCACTGTTTGCTTCCTATTACAGGGTAATGTTAGTGAAATAGAGTAAAAGTTCACAATACTGAGTTGTCTCTGTTGGTGGGGAAAGAAATGCCAGCAATATGTATCAGAGGGAATTATATCTGACCACTGTTTTGCCATCCCTGGCAGCAGCTTTGGAAAGTATGTCATACCAAAAGGGTTTTGCAATTTCTGCACCATTTGTCATATATTCCCATCTAGTGCTCAAAATAATGATTCTCAGTAAGCTTCCAAAAAAATCTACATAATTCTGCTGCATCAGTTATAATTGAAACATAGTAATTAATAGCTCTTGGAATACCCCAGCTATTTTATTAATCTGGAACACAGTTGTTAAGAGAAAACAAAAAGGCGCTGTTTTATAATGTTTTTCATTCTTTTTCATTAGAAAACTATAGTTTAGGCAAAAATAAAAAATCTTAAACAGCCTAAGTTGGAACATGGTAGAAATAAAGAAATCAGTGTGGTTTGAGTTAAGGTGTCTCTTTAGAAAGGGCTTTCCAAAGATGAGAGTCTTCACATAGTGGTTGAAATCATCAGAACTAAGGAGAACCTAAGCCTCTTTTCCCAAAGAGCTTCTTTAGTGTTAGACAAGAACTTGGTTAGGCAGTAATTACAATGAATTTTACCTTCCACTGAAGCTGAGCCCACCAGGGAAGCTGGTAGCACTTCTGTTTGAAAGCATACTTTAGAAAAGGAAAATATTGTGCAGACTTTGAAGAATGAGGAAAAAGTGTGAGAAAGAATCCTAAAAACACCAAGGTCAGTGAAGGAGAAAGAGGCACTCCAGGAGCTGTAGAAGATAGTCTCCTGCAGCCTGTGAGTTTTGGAAGAGATCATAATGAATTTAGTATTTCACTGGAGTTCATGGAGAGTATCACACCAGAGCAGATATTCACACTGCAGCACGTGAAGGATCCCAATCCAGGGCAGGTTGATATTTCCTGAAGTGCTGCTACCTGTGGAGAGACCATGCTGCTGGTTTATCCTGAAGGATGGCAGCCTATGGTATGGACTCATGCAGGAGCAAGGAAATTATTTAAGGAGAAAGGTGCAGTCTAGAGGAGCTAGACCCACCAAAAATCCCCACTCCCTATCCCCCCTGCACCATGTGAGGTGGGGAAAAAGAAGTCAGGAATGAAGCAATAAAGTTTCTAGGAAAAAGTAAAGCAGGTGAAGGTATTTTAACCTTCATCTTTATTTCTTACTACCCAAATCTATTTTAATTAGCTATAAAGCAAATACATTTTCCCCAAGTCAAGTCTCATTTGCCTGTGATGGCAATCTCTAACTGGTCGCCCTGGATTTATCTCAACCCACAAATTTTTCCAGTCTTATTTTCTCCCCCTCTCCTGTTGAGAAGGAGGAGTGAGTGTGGCTGGGTGGGAATTTGGTAGCCAGCCAAGGTCAACCCACTACAGAGAGTTTGCACTGGTGCAATAAAGATGAGGACACAACTCAGACTGTATTGTTCAGCAACACTTTTCCTCTGAGACTCACCAGTTACTTGCATATTGATTTGGTGAAAAAGTCATCAGCCCAAGAGCTAATATCAATGTATAGATCAGGATTTAAACTACAATGATGAACAGCAGTTAGCTACAGAAGCAGCAAACATCCTTCCAACAATAATGCATTTTTGTTACTCTCTACTTGAGCTGGGTCAATTTGGAACAAAAACATTTGTCTTGTTGTGTGGGTTTGATTTTTTTCACTTTTTATCACCTTTCATTCTAATTTTCCCTTCTCAAACATAAGTATTTTATTTCACTCACTTTCTACACACATTTAAGAAAAATGGATGCCAGCAGGATACATTTTAACATAAAGCTAAATGTCAAATTGATTAAATATTTCATGCTGGCAGGAAGTCCATGCATATGTAACCAATGAAGTATCAATACAACATGATGCCCCTGACAATTCTAAAATAGTATAAGAAAACCTCAATGTTCTTTTAGATGTTAAATGGCTTGAAATTGGGTGCTGGGTAAACTTGACAGGTTGGATTACTTATTAATCTAGGTGTAATCAATTTAACGAGTATGCAAAAGATTAAAAAGTCTATGTAATTATCATTCCCCTGAGCTATGCCATGTCCCTCTGCATTGTGAGGCTGTTGTAAAACTCTCTGCTATTCTATAATTTAGCAATTCTGAACCTACTGTCTCTACAGAGATAGAATAATGTATGTATCAGCAAATTTAATTTTAGTCAAGAAAGCATAGTGAGAGAGGAGGGTCTGAATACCATTTTCATGCCTATTCTATTTCTGAAAGACAGTTCCATTTCTAATTGTGAATGTTTTAAAGCACAGAAGAATGGCAGTTCAAGCATCTCACAGGAGCTTTCAAAGCAGGGAAAGGGAAAATTCACAATGGTGGCCTAGGAAATAAGAAGTCTGAAGGGCTAAAATCTAAGTGTCCTTAACCACATAAACCCCAGAAAATCTCACTATGCCAATAAGTTTGTTCCTAAATTAGTTTTTGTATGTGTCCTTATTAATAGTCAACACAGTCATCTTTCAACATCCCACATCAATTTCCATTGCAGCTTCCAAAGTATTTGCTTAATATAAACGAAAACGCTGTTTAGATTATATGTAAAATGTTAAGTGTAATCTCACATGTGAAAATAAGACACTGAGTAACTAAAAAGAGTGATGACTTTCCTAGATCTCTTAAGAATAGCACAGAAAATAACTGATTAATCTGTACCAAGAAGTAGGGGAATATATATTAGGAAAAAGACTATCTACAAGGAGAGCTAAGCATGGGAACAGCCTTCAATATATTGAAATGTCTTTTATTGAAAGTATCTAAGAACAGAGCATAAAATCACCTGCCAGAAATTGTCAGAGTTATCCATGTCCTGCATATCCCTGTGAATCCAAGAAGAAAAGCTACCAATGAAGGGTAGCAGAAAAAAAAACAGCCTAATGTTGTATTCAACATCCAAAATCTGTAAAATAGGAACTTATGAAATGTTAAAGGTATATTAAAAAAAAATCTAAAAATCATTCATCTTGACAATCTAGTCTCAACTCCTATCAGGAAAATGCTCTTGAAATCCTTTTCCTCCCCTTCAATGTAAGATAGTCAATCACACCTCAACATTTATTTTCTATCTGTTGTGCCAAATCTCATAGCATTTCACAAATAATAGATAAACCCCTGTGACACTGAAAAGAAACAACACTGTATGTGTTCATACTTTGCCTCATGTAAACACTGCCATAGAGAACTTAGCAAATTAATTTAATTCAAGAGTAATTTCAAAAGCTGATTAAACAAGGTTTTTGTCATGTGTATGAAGGAAGTACAATTTTTCATCAATGTATTAGCAAATTTTCAGCTTCTTTTGCTCTTTTCCACTATGTATTACAGAATGCCAGTCTATCTGTTAAAAAATTAATAGACAGCCATAAATCAGATTCTTTTGTTGGTTATAAAGAAAAAATATGATAACCACATATAAGCCACTCTAGATGCTTATTTACAAGAACTTCCAGATTCTGGGCCAGCCTCTCCTCAGTCAGAACGGTAGTCTGAGCGTACTCATGAACTTAAAATGGACTGTCCAAGAGTTACTCTCTTGCAAACACAGCCTTAGAGCTCCTGCTACTGAGGCTATGCAAATGTCAGGGAAACAACAGGAAGCCCAAGGCTGGCTTGAGCAGGTATCTGCCAGGACTTATCCACTGACATTAAAAAAATCTCTGCAAAAGTCATGGTCATGGGATGCTGGCATACTTTCCCCTCCCTCCTCCCTCTCCCAGGCACTGCGCTATTCTCATGCATACGTGACAGCTCACTGGTCAAAAGAATGGATGTGCTAAGGCAGGACATGAACTCCAGGAATAGCTGAAAGCATCAGGGTTTTTTTCTAGTTTGGCTTCAGGACAGCAGTCCTCAGGGAGGGTCCTAGCTAACACTGGCATTCTCATGAAGATGCACTGCTGCTGACACCATTTGTAGCACTACTTACAGAGCTGCCAAGTCCAGACGAATACTTGATAGAGGTTTGTCTTCTGCTGGAGTGAGATTGTACACTCACTGCTGGAGGGCAGTTTGGATTTTGTTTCCCTTGCTTTGCCTTCTCTCTCTCCCTGCCCTCCTCCAAATCCATCCATCTGCTCTTGTCCCTCACTTCTTTCCAATCGTGCTGGCAGCATGAGAGGTAGCACACCCCTAACTCCCTGTTCAGTTCCTTTTCTCAGCACTACCCTTCCCAGAGACCCCAATATCTGAGCCCGTATTTATGTGTGACAGGGCTCATCAATGAACTTCAGGAGAATGAAAAATTGAGGAGAAGAGCACTACAGTGAGGAGCAGGAAGAACTGAGGGGAGATTAAAAGTGATTGACAGGGGCGAGCCCCAAATATGGAATCCTCCTGCTTCAAGATTGGTGACTGTGTTTGTTCCAACACACTCATTGGCAGCAGAGCTATCATCAGCTTTATGAGGCTATTTATAGAGAAACTGAATACAGAGAAACCCATGAAAAATTCTCACCTTTCTCTTCCTGAAATAAGGCTAAAACCAACAGATCATGCTAAAACCTGTTTCCCTAGCAATAGATTGGTAATTCTTGCTCCTGATAAAATTGAGAGTTCATGCAGGTCTCTGCTCCACCAAATCAGAAGCAAATGCTTTTGGCTTAAGATCTTGAGGTGTAGAGATGAAAAAGAGTTCCTGTCAGAAGAACTGACCATACCATTTTCCTCATTAGATAACACATAGGAAAACTGATTTTTTGTCAGTATGGTACAGGCACCAAGGAATAAACATCTGCTCTCTGGTTCTCTGCAGATTTCACCCTTCAGTGAACAACAGACAGGTTGAACAGTGATGCTGCTATTTAGCCATAATCTTCTTTTTACAGACTAAACCAAAAATACTCATTACATCATTATGTGCTTTGTATGAAACAAGTTGTTTAGTTTTCCTCAATAGGAAGTGTCCCAGGATTCCACCAACATTTAGGAAGAGTCTGAATCTCCCACCACAGGTTTTCAGTGTGCTCCCCTTCTAAGCACTCACAGGATGATGTAGGGTCAGGCCTTATGCTGGGATCTTTCAAACACCCTATCTCACAGATTCAGAAAAGAAATTCAGCCAATGGTCTCATGGCCAGATCAGATAGTCCAGGAAACCTAAGTCTTGGAATTTAGCATAAGAAGGCCTGTGTACAAGGGGAAGGACATTCTTATTTAAAGAAACCTAGTGGCAAAACAATCAAGTGGAAGAGATAACAAAGCAAAGATGCATGCTGGCCTTCCTAGAAGGAAGCTATCTAGTCTACATTTGAAATATGATTGGCTGCCAGAGGTACAGCCTTACAGTGGAGTGAAGGAATTTTTTGGTCATTTCAGTCATGAGAAGGGGACTTTAGCAGCACTGCTGACTGGACATCAGGCCAGTGGTGTCTCCCCCAGTCTGACTACTGATTAGGTACTGATTAGGGTCTATAGAAAATACTTCAAGCAAATCTCATTAGTTATTTAACATTTCAATTAAGTGATACTTTCTCAAATTTTCTGTGCAACAGCAATGAAAGTGGATTTTTCCATGTGGCAATGGTCAGAAATCTTATAAGTATATTGCTTGGGCTGTTTTTTAGTTCACTGAAGCTATACTATTTGCATAAGCTGAGGATCCAATCTATACAGTTGTCTTGAGTTCTTATACACATTAATACCCTCAGTTAAAGTGAATGAAAGTTTCCCAATATTTTAAAAACCTATTCTGGAGCAGGGTGAAGAATACATATAAGAGAGGTAGGACAAAATTAATATGTGCAGGAAAGGTTTTTCACTAGGAAGAGAAAGTTGCTGTTTGAAACACATTTATTCAACATAGGCATTTTTATACTCTTATTCTAAATTCTTTATAATATACACATTTTTATTTTACACTTCCAGTGTGTAAGTAATCAGAGACACCCGTGTCTCATTTCTCTGCTTGGCTGTAACTTGGAATATATCCCATTAATCTGTCAATACTGATGTGGTCAAACCAATCAGTGAAGCCTAGAGAGATTCTGCTGACCCTAAACCAGACGTTTGCTGAAAATTCTCCTGGCTCAAATAATCATATTTGACTATAGCTCCCTTAACCATAGCAGGTCCTTAGAAACTTAGAATTTCAGCTACCTACTTATATTTGGCTGTTTTATTTTCCAATTAAGTCACACTCAAATGGTGTCATTCAGTTGCACATCCTACTACTAAGTGAGAGGTGATGGGATAACCTAACTGGCCTTAAGCTGTGCCTCAGAAGAGCAGAAGTCTCCCTTAGGTCTATTATCACATATACCAGGCCTATACAAATATCTCAGCTATCTTAAATCCCCTTAAATGTCAGCAGATGCCTATTTTTAGAAAACTGAATCAACAAAAAATGTCTGGTAGCAATGAGAAATTCAGGTCACAAAGTTACATGTCAGTATATCATTGTAACCCTATAAACAAACTCTATTTCCTATGAAGACAAGTGAGGCTGTAGGACCATGAAGAGGTGACTGGGGTTGTTTCTGTAGTTCTCACAATTGCTGCTACTCCAGGCCTCTCTGCCCAATGCTTTCTTGTGCAATCCAAACTTAGCAATGTTAACATTTAAGTAATCAGTGATAGACCTGGGTTAACCTAGAATAACATCTTTGAGATGTTCCTGTTGCTTCCTGCATTTCAGATGGGAGCTTCTGCAGTACCATTTCTTTCATAACTCTTTCATCAATGAAGTCTTTTTACACACAGTAGCTGGTGACTGATTTTTGTTTCTCTAAGATGAAAAGCTGAAATTTGAGAGGTTAAAAGCCATGGACAAGCTGTCAGTATGCATTTTCTGTTTTCAAATCGTGCTAATATTATTATATTACAGTATCAAGTAAGAAATAATCCAAACACCCTTCAACAACATATCACTGAATCCTCAAAAACTCAGTGGCACAAGTTTAAGGTGCCAAAATCCTCATCCAGTAAAGTCAGTGGCATGTTGTTTTTTCTTCCTAGGGAAGAAAAGATGAGTCAGTCCTGATGAGATATGAACATATGGCTCTAATAAACCTAGGTACTCAAAGCCTGGTGCTTAAAGAGCTGTGATGATCCTGTAGGACAGTGATACCATAATAACTTGTACTGCTTTCTAAGATTTTTTAGGGTGTTGTTTTTTGTCATCCATTTCTAATAAAACAGTCTATTATCTTCAGTGAAAAAGTATCACACAGTCATGCATAATACACAGACTACCAGAAAAAGAACTAAAGCAATTTAAAGATCTATTAAATGCATCCATTTGGGGAAAAAATAGAGGAACAAATGGAAGAAATATTGTGTGTTTCTCCAATGAAAGACTAGTCAAATAAACAGATCATCATCTATGACAGATACTTAATTCATGAGATAAAAATATTTTGTAATATGTCCATGAGATTATTTATCATGTGATTTAGTTTTATTCACAGAGGAAGACCTTGATACATGCCTGAGGCACCAATAGAGAATACAAAGATATTTCAGGGATTTTTAAAATATGAACTATAATACATGCTTACTTCTAAAAGTCAGAAATAACATAATGTGCTTGATAACAGTGAATTCTAGTTGAAGGCAGCCAAACTCATCTTTATGTCCTTTTTTATTATGTCTCTTTATTTTCTTTTCACAGCATTTTCAGCCTTACCACAGATACACTCTGTTCATTCTGCAGTTTTTGCACTTCTGTCAGTAGATCTTACCTGGTCACACTTTGGACCCACTCTTTCATAATTCCTATTTCCTGAAGCAATTTATTATGTCTCTCTTTGTTAGGTCTTTATTTCTTTTCAAATGCCTTCTAAAATTTCAAATAGCAAACTCTCACAAAATGCAAAACCTAAGTATGTCTGGATTTCAAAAAAGAAATTGAACCACATCCAGATTTTGCAACTGATTACTACTCCTATTCAGGACTCCAGATCCTAAGTGCAACATGTTTCAAGTCCCTTCATATATGGTATATCTCACACCTCTTGTCACAATTCCAGCTTCCAGCAGGATGTTCCCTTTCCATTTTAAAATCAGAAAAATAAAATTAAGCCGGGCTTGTGCATTCTTTTCCACCTTTTTATTCCCTCATACAGGTTTTGATAACAGATTCTATCACCCTACTAGCTTTTATATCAATTTCTAACACCATGATATACCCACATTGAAATTTCTACCCTAACCTCAAAATTGTACCAATGTTCTCCTATGCTCATATTTTAGGACAACTGGATAATACATAGTAACACATGTACTTGAGACATTTTGCCAACAGTAAGATTTGTAATAGCATGAGAATTGTGTTAGCAATTAAAGAAAAAGATGAAATCTGAATTCTTAGTTTCAGTATTCCCAAACCAGGAAAACAGTCCCTAAATTCTGTGATGTGATAAGAGATTAATAGTTCAATTTTGAAATAATAAAAGTAAACAAATGTATATTTTTGTTTAAATATTCTGTGTTGATATTTGAATGTGAGAAAAGCAGCCCAGAAAGTATGTTTTGAGAATAATAGTGATCCATGGACTAAAAAGGATCGGTACTACCACCCTGAAGTACAAGGGTGTAGCACATATGCTGTTCTCACTTGTTGTTTTATCTTATTCAGGTAAGCAGTGAGAACTGCATGGCACATCATTAATGAAAGTCAGCAGGTTCCTCTTAGAGCATGTTTCCCATTACATTATAGACAAATAACAGAAGTATTGAATCAAGGGTCTAAAAGTATCAAAGGGTTATGGCCTTAGCTAGGGGATGGAATTGCTAGAATTTAGCAAGGACTATAGAAGCAATGTAGAATAGTTAATTATTAACAGATAGAACTAGATGGAGCTAAGACTATATATCTTTTGCTTTGCTTTGTTGTGTCAGGATGGGGAGGATAAGGTACTGTAAAGATGAAGAAACCATAACTACACCTGAGCCCCAAAACCAGCCAGAACTAGGTTGGGGGGTTTGAATTGTGGCCAAGGGACCAGAAAGCCTGCCAATAAGACAAAGGTGAAAAGCTTGCCGTGAGGAAGACTGACTTCATCTTAGGAGACCACTGACCCATTTTGAAACTCACCGACTCATTTGGAGAAAGAAACTGCACAGATGTGAAAGG